CCCCAAAACCCCAAAACCCCAAAACCCCAAAACCCCAAGTTCACCAAGATATTCGGAAATATTAATTTATTTAGACATAGCTAAAATGTCTATTTGTAAAGATGCTTTAAAGCTTTGAAAGGATGCTTTCCTCGGGAACTGACTCACCAAAGAGGTTCGAAACCGGTGGGTGTTTGAGGACATTGACTTTGGAGACTCCAACATCCTGCGAATGTACCAGGAGCACAGGCTCAAAGCAATCAGAGCTAATTGGAAATTCATTTTGTTGATTCTCAAGACCATGTTTATGTTGGTTGCCATTTGTTATCAGCTGGATGGTGGCCACATGTCAAGCTTCAAAAGATACTCTCCGATAGTGATCTTTGTGTTAATTTTTGTGCTCAAACACTTCATCTACACAAACGAGTTCGTTGCGAGAAGTGGAGCGACTCTTTTTATCGTCATGTTTGGAGCATTAGTCACCAAATCCAACCTTGAAATTACCCAATTCAGGTAAGTATATAATTTCATTTTGTCAAATTGTTCGAGAATTAAAGGAACTAAGAACTCCGCTTCAAACTTTGATGGAAACACAGGATGTGCATATTTGAATTCAAATTTCTTTCTTTGTGTACACTTGAGCTTTATTTGTCTCTTATAAGCTCAAAAATTATGGAGCTCTTGGCATCCAAATTTTTCTAATATTACTATAGGCTTTACGAAGGACTTCTGGTTCACATCTCAATATCCTTCTTGTTGTCAACATGCCTTGTGTCAGATTGGAGAGTCTCTTCAGGTGCAATGGTGCTGGTTTATGCCAACTTGTATGTCTTGTTGAAGACGCACTTCAGCGATGTTCCATTTTCGATGCTCTATTGCATCATATTATCATTGGTGATATTTTGATTTAATGCGTTCTTAATTTCGAGGACGCTCAAGAAAGAGTTCCTGGCAACCCACAACGCCAAGCATGCCTCCTCTCAGCTGAAGAAGGTGTTGCAAGGCCTACCTGAAGGCGTCACCATCATGGATGAGCAGGGAGATGCTCTTGAATTTATCAACCAAAAGCTCAAGAAGACACTAGATATTTCGATGTTTCACCAGGATAAGAGCGTGGACTGTGAACTCACAAAGATCAAAGAGTTAATTGACAAATCATTTGATGACATTTATGACAAATTGGGAGGAGACATTATGCATCCTGGAGATTCCGGAAAATTTGAACATACCATCCTAAGCAACTTTGTTATAAAGATTAAGAAAGACAAGACTGAGGAAGACAAAGAAGCTGATCCAGATGTCTCCTTCAAGAATTCTGAAATGATTCCATTGACAACTTTTCTAAGAAATGAAAGAGAACTTGCAAAGAATTTGGAAGACAATGATCGAAGCACCAAAGTCTACATCTCGTGAAAGAACAGTTGCTCGAAGGTAGACAACCTTCATAAAGATTTTATTATCAAGACTTCAAAAATTGATGTCGTAAATGACAAAGATACAATACATACTTACCTTCAAATGTTCATCGACACCACTCAGATTACACAGTTGGAGGAGGCCAAGGCTCAAAGCAACTATCAGAGACAAATGCTCTCAAACGTATCACACGAGTTCAGAACGCCTCTCAATGCAATGTCGTTGTCACTGTACCTGATGAAAGATCATATCAACGGTGTGTTACTTAAATATCACCAAATAGCCTCATCATCATGAGACATCCTCAAAGGTCTGGTCGAAGACATCCTGGATTTTTCTAAAATTGAAGCCGGAGTCTTCGAAATCCAGGAGTCAGAGTTCACATTCAAACAGCTCTTCGATGAAGTAAGCTCCATCTTCGAGATGCAGACTCGCATGAAGCAAGTTGGCTTGCACTTCATAATGGAGGATGCCTTCTGTGAACTCAAAGTGAAGTCTGACAAAGAGAGGCTCAAGCAGATCCTCCTGAACTTGTTGTCCAACTCTCTGAAGTTCACCGACGAGGGCTCCATCAACGTGGAGCTGAAGATCCAGCAGATGAAAAAGTTCAGTGCGCAACAAATCAATTCAGGTAATTGTAAACTGCATTTTCAAACATATTTGCGTGAAGCCTTCATTGAGTGGCGGAGGGAATATGGTAATAGTTCTGCTTGTTTGGTTGAGATATAAGTACACTGGTAAAATACTTCTTGCTTCTCATCAATTTTGAAGACTTGTTGGCAGTCTCATCCTATAGCTTTGTTGAGCCAATCAATTATACAAATGATTTGCACTTATTTACAATAAAGTCGGACTATATCATACTTAGTTGACTCAAAACTACATCTTCATTGCCTACAAATACTTTTATTCTCAAACTGTTTAGGTGATGAAGAGAAGCTGTCTTCAGTAGAAGCCTTTGACGAAATGCCAGTGTGCAATCTTCTTCTCGTAACTGATAACTATGAATTCAAATCACACAAGTCCAAGTTTGATGAACCTGCATTAGGTTTTGCAAGACAAGACAAGACCACTGGCAAATTGATGCAGAAAGACGCTGATCAGTCAATGCCATCTGACTTCACAAAAGAACTCTGACTCGAACTGAGTGTCAGAGACACAGGCATTGGGATTCCTGAGAAAGACTTGTCATCGCTGTTCAAACTCTTCGGCAAGACCAGTTCCAACCATAACCGGAACAAGACTGGGACTGGGCTCGGCCTGACTATTTGCAAGAAGTTGTGTGAGAAACTAGGAGGGAAGATAGTTCTGGAGTCAAAAGAAGGAGTTGGAACCAAGGTAACATGCACGTTCAGATGCTTCTATTAAGCATATTTAGTTACTTGTTGTATTTCTATCCAATATTATTACCTCGGGGTTTTGGGGTTTTGGGGTTTTGGGGTTTTGGG